TGTTCCCCAGTCACCCTGTTTTCTTCCCAGAAGTAACTAGTGTTACTGGTTACTTGTGCTTCATTTTAGGGTCTATACATTTACACACATACACACATCATATATGTGTGTGTGTATTTTCCCACACACACATCTGGGAACATAATGTACATACTATTCTGCACCCTTCTTTTTTCATTGACCATATATCCTTCCAAGTCAGTATGATTAAAACTGCCTCATTAGTTTTAATGACTACAGAGTATTCCACTATGTAGGTAAACCATAATTAGGACATTTAATCATGGACATTTAGGGTTTTTAAGAGAGTTTTTAAAATTAAGGTATAGTTTACATACCATAAAATTCACCTTTTAAAATAATATAATTCAGTAGTTTAATTCAATAACTTTTTTTTTTTTTTTTTTAGAGACAGAGTCTGGCTCTGTCACTTTGGCTGGAGTGCAGTGGTGTAATCATAGCTCACTGCAGCCTTGACCTCCTAGGGCTAAAGCAAACAATCCTCCCATCTCAGGCTCCCAAGTAGCTGGAACTACAGGTGTGCACCACCACACTCAACTAATTTTTAAATGTTTTGTAGAGATGGGGTCTCACTACATTGCCAGGCAGGTTCAAGAACGTTTTTATTGCCCCAGAAAGAAACGCCATACCCATGACATCTAAGGTTTTGCAGTCCTTTGTTAAAACCAATAATACTAAAATAATAATAATACTGCCCTGGATATTCTTATACACATGTCATTTGGCACATGTGAAAGAATATCCAAGTGACAGCTATGGTGGCACATACCTGTAGGCCCAGCTACTTAGGGGGTTAAGGATCTCTTGAGCCCAGAAGTTCAAGTCCAGCCTGGCCAACATAGAGAGACCCCATCTCTTTAAAAAAAAAAAGTGAGTGAAAAAAAAAAGAGTATCTGCAGTACAAATACCTGGAAATGGATTTGCTTGGTAAGCTGATTTATTCACTTAAGATTTTGGAAGACATTGCTGAATTGCCCTCACTAGAGGTTATATGAGTCCGTATCCTGTCAGTGTATAGACGTTCCTATTTCCCCACTCCCTGCTAGCATAATTCTTCATCCAACTTTTTTATCATTGCCAATCTGACAGGACATGTAGTATCTCACTACAATATTAATTTATATTTCTCTTATTGTAAGTAAGGTTGATTATTTTATATCCTTAGGAGCTACTTGTATTTCCTTTGTTGTGAATTGATTGCTCATAAACTGATTAAATCTTTGATATTCTGGAAGGATCCTGATAAAAAAAATTTCCTTATTTAGAATAGCTTTTTATGTATTAGGGAGAAAAGCCCTGATAAACAATTTTCCTTATCTATAGGAGCTCTTTATGTATTAGGGAGAAAAGCCCTGATAAAAAATTGTCCTTATTTATAGGAGCTCTTTATGTATTAGGGAGAAAAGCCCTGATAAAAAATTTTCCTTATTTATAGGAGCTCTTTATGTATTAGGGAGAAAAGCACTCTGTGGTATGAATTGGAGGTATTTTTACCAGTTATTTTTGTTTTAGTCTTTGACTTTGCTTATGATGTGTTTTTCTTTTATCATGCAGAAGCTTTGTATTTTATGTTGACTTTGTCAGTCTTTTATGACTTGTGTGTCTTATGACATCCTTAGACTTTCCTCACTCCAACATTGTTTAAAAAAAAATTCTCCCATGTGTTATTCTAGAACTTTAAGTTTCTTTCTCCCTCCACCATGTAACGCCTAGATCCATCTAGAATTTATTTTGTGTAAGATATGAGGTGTGAATCTACCTTATTTTCCCCATATGGTTAACAACTTTTCCCCACCGCTTTGAAATGTCATTTTTATACTGTGTCCTCTTGATTAAAAGCTATTATTTAAGATGTTTGTTGGTGCAATTCAGAACAATTTTAAACATTAGCTTTAATTTTTTAAGAGAGGTAGTCAGGTGCTCAGGGCAGTGATTTCTGAACTCTTGGGGTGCCTACAGCCCCCTTCCCTCCACGACAAATCCTACTGCCGAGTGCTAGTGCTGCTATTTACAGAGGGGACGACGTCTTGCCCATGTCTCTTGGGCCCAGAAATAGTTTCCAACCACTCATACAGGGATTTCCCCTTAGCCTCATAAAATCTCCCTGGGGTCAGCCACCCATCTAGGGATGTTACTTGAATGAGAAAAGAGCCTCAACAGGAGTCCAGAATTAAAGGGAGAATCTTTCCAGAGAAAACAAAATTCTTCACTTCTGGGTCTTAGTAACTGATCTTCAGATTATCTTCTCATTTTATTTATTTTTCTTTTTAATTTTATTTTTTGAGACAAAATCTCGCTCTGTCACCCAGGCTGGAGTGCAATGGCGTGATCTTGGCTCACTACAACCTCCGCCTCCCAGGTTCAAGCAATTTTGCTGCCTCAGCCTCCCGAGTAGCTGAGACTACAGGCATGTGCCACCACACCTGGCTAATTTTTTGTATTTTTAGTAGAGATGGGTTTCACCATGTTGGCCGGGCTGGTCTCGAACTCCTGACCTCAAGTGATCCACTCACCTCGGCCTCCCAAAATGCTGGGATTACAGGCATGTGCCACCGTGCCTGGCCTATCTTCTCATTTTAAAATCATAGTCAAGTTTTACAATTTTGCTTTGGTAAATTTATTTTGATGGACCGTTGGTCATCTGGTGAAAGGAACCCCTGGTTTAGGCTATATTATGACTACATTTTGGCATTATTTGAAGCTAGAGAATACAGGACTAAGGGGTCATCTCTTTTAATTTGAAACCATTTTAAGGTGAGAAAAGAGTGTGGCCCTTTAAAAAGTAGAATTCTCAGGGTGCCCCGACTGTAAAGGCTCCTAGAGTTGTACCTACTGGGACCAGAGGAGAAGGCCTGTCTGGCAGTTCCTGATGCTGCTGATAGGGGGTAGATATCCCCGGGGAGCCTTCTTTCAAGCCAAGTGTTTGACCCCCTGTTTTGTTTGGTAGAGAAGATTGCACAATGGCTTTTAATCTCATTCAATATTATAAAATTGTTCTGTTTGCACTACTCAAGGACTAGTTTGTCATTCTGAACTTAGGGGTAGCAGATGTTCTCTGTGCTTGCAAGTGCTGGTGGTAGTAACACCTCAGTGGAGTGACTGCTGGTGACTTCCTGCCTCAGGGCTGTTTAACTCTTAGGGCACCTTATCGAGTAGAGGAATTAGGCAAGTGTGTCAAGTAAGGAGGGAAGCTGGGAGAGTCGGGGAAGTGTTTTTCTTTGGTATAGACTATTTTTCACTTGCATTTTTATTAATTAGTTTGTTCCAGAGACAGACACTTAAAAAAAATGAATTCACAAAGGATACGGGGAATTCAATTTACATGGTCATGTTAAAAAAGTAATATCTCCTTTATAGGCTTAATGTATGTCATAATTGGCTAATTTATTCCATATGATTGTGATGCCTGAGACAAGCCTATGGTTTGCTGATGAGCCATGGTTAATACAATTTTATCTCACTAAATGTCGTCAGAATTTAAGGGAAGACCTTAACACAGATTTCTCTGTATCTATGTGATGATCATTTTCCTGCTTTTCTTTCTATCCCATCTTCACTCCTTCCACAGTCACGTTACGGTAGTATAGTCATGCCAGTGTGCCCGTGAGTAACTCCAAGTCTGAGTTCTAAAAAGCAGGTTTCACTTAGCCAGCTGCCCTTGTCAGTTTCAGCCTTGGGAGTCACCTTTTGGTATATTTTCCCACTTCTTCTTCCTCCTTTCTCAACCACCATTTCTCCTCTCCATTGGATTCTACAGGGTTTGTAATCTCCCAGATCATTCAGCAGCTGGACGAATTCACCCGCCAAGGGGAAGTTCCCTGGCAGATCCCAGTGGGGGTACTTACCCCTTCCAGACTCTTCCTGAGGAAAGCAAGTTACCTTCTATGTAGCAGGAGTACATTTTATATTAGTTTGGCCTTGTGACTGTTAGAGTGGGAAGTCTGAGGGAAATGGAGAAGAGATGCAGTTTTAACAGAGGAAAAACATTTAGTAGAGACTGTCCTTTCTGCCTTCTTCGGGCGTGTCCCTCTTCTGGGCATCTCTTCAGGATTTCATTCCTCCGTCCAACTGCTGTTCACAACTGCCCTTTCCAACTGCTCCAGAACTCTTGGCCCTGGCATTCCGTGATGTAAATTATTCCACGCATGGCTCAAAATGGGTGTGAAGCGGTGTTGCCAGGTGTCGGATCGCTAGTGTAAGTTTCCCAGTCTGTGGGGAGAGCTGCTCTTGGAATCTGTGCAGTTGTTGTTGTTCAGCTGAAGCATAGTCATTTCACTGGCTAAGCTTGACGCTGTCGCTGGCTGGGGAGAGAGGGATCTCAGGGCCTGGAGCTGGGGTGAACTTTTTTGGTTGAGATTCTCTACTTTAAGGATTCTAGTGTTAGGATGTAGATTGTTTGGAGTTGAACAGGGGTGGTGGTGCTGCAGAGGGAGAACGCAGGACCTGCGGGCCAGAGCCTGCAGAGACTGCCTGCGGCTAGGGTGCCCCTCTTCTCTCTCTAAATGCAGGAAGAACTATTTTCCTATCTTCCTAAAGATAGCCAGAATATGGCAAAAAATGTAGATTGTTCACCATGTTTAGGGACATTGAGTCACAAAATTAAAAGACCTCTATGTCTATGAGATCTTTTCTAAAACATAAATATTATTTCTCCCCTTGTTTATTGTACATTTTGAGGAAGTTACTATTCATGGTTTATAGCCCCTTGGGGGAATCTGCATGTGAAGGAAGTTGCTGCCAACTATCTTTGATTTGTCTAGATTCTTTTTCGACTTATAAGTTAAGGGTTTGTTTCCAATAAAAAGTTTAAATTGAATATTTTATCTCTCAAAAATTACATTAATAATAAGCCGAGGAAAACTCACATGAATTACAGTTATTTATCCAGAAAAGTGTAAGGCATGTGTTTATATTGCATTGATACTACTGCCTTTAATCTGCTTTACTGAAACCTGTTTTCCTCTCCCTTTTCTTTATAGTTGTCATGGATGATGATGATGACTCGTGTCTCCTTGATCTTATTGGGTAAGATGCTTATTCCGAAACCCGGGTAAATCAAATGTGTGAGGTTTGCTGAACACTAAAACAACCTAATAGCGTATTAACACCTGGTAGGTATTTTAAATAAAAATTAAATAATAATCATAGGTTTAGTAGAGAAACAAAGGACTTGATTAACATAGGGGCTGTAATTCAGTAATTCTTTTTTTTTTTTTTTCCTTTTGAGACAGGATCTCACTCTGTCACCCAGGCTGAAGTGCAGCAGCACAGTCTCAGCTCACTGTAGCCTCTACCTCCCAGGCCCATACGATCCTCCCACCTCAGCCTGCCAAGTATCTGGGACTACAGGCACGCACCACCATGCCTGGCTAATTTTTTGTATTTTTTGTATTTTTTTTTTTTTTTTTTGTAGAGACAGGGTTTTGCCATGTTGTATAGGCTGGTCTCCAACTCCTAGACTCAAGTGATCCTGCTGCCTCAGCCTTCCAAAGTGCTGGGATTACAGGCATGAGCCACTGCGCCCAGCAAGTAATTATTTGTTAAATTTATTTCCTAATAAATCCCAGGAGGGAAAAGTGAATAATAATAGGAAATGGCACAATATCAAAAGAAAAACAAGATAAAAATTTTAAAAACTACTAATTGTTTTAAAATAGGGAGAGAATTTTACTCAGGTAATCATTTTCTTTCTACTCTAGTAAAAATTAATTCTAAATATAGGTAGTGTATTTGTTTGTTGTTTTATCTCTTTTTTTTCCTCTCTTTTCTAGAGACCCACAAGCACTGAACTATTTTCTACATGGACCTAGTAATAAATCTGTAAGTAATACGTAGCATGCCACAGACATCTATTTTGTTTCTGCTTTACAGTTAAAGTAGTAACCACCTATTGAATTTGTATCTTTGCAGAGCAATGATGACTTGACTAACGCAGGATATTCTGCAGCCAATTCAAATTCAATTTTCGCCAACTCTAGTGTGAGTATTGGAAACTAAATGCAGTGATTAAATGGTTTCTATCTCATTGATGCCTTGTGAATTGAGCCTTTAACTGCCTTTGTATCATGAGAATCCTTACCTTGTCTGTTGTAATTTATTTTATTTTATTGATTTATTTTGAGATGGGGCCTCACTCTGTCACCCAGGCTGGAGTGCAGTGGTGCGATCACAGCTCACTGCAGCCTCGACCTCCCAGGCTGAAGCAATCATCCCACCTCAGCCTCCCAAATAGCTACGACTATAGGCGCGTGCCACCAGACGGGCTAATTTTTGTATTTTTAATAGAGACAGAGTTTCGCCATGTTAGCCCGGCTGGTCTTGAGCTCTCAGGCTCAAGCAGTCCACCTACCTTGGCCTCCCAAAATGTTGGAATTACAGGTGTGAGCCACTGCGCCCAGCCTGTTGTAATTTATATAGGAAGAAAATCTATTGAATTATGTAGACATTTTCTACTTTTTTTTTTTTTTTTTTTTTTTTTTTTTTGAGACGGAGTCTCGCTCTGCCCCCCATGCTGGAGTGCAGTGGCCGGATCTCGGCTCACTGCAAGCTCCGCCTCCCGGGTTCACGCCATTCTCCTGCCTCAGCCTCCCAAGTAGCTGGGACTACAGGCGCCCGCCACCTCGCCCGGCTAGTTTTTTGTATTTTTTTAGTAGAGACGGGGTTTCACCGTGTTAGCCAGGATGGTCTCGATCTCCTGACCTCATGATCCGCCCGTCTCAGCCTCCCAAAGTGCTGGGATTACAGGCTTGAGCCACCGCGCCCGGCCAACATTTTCTACTTTTAACATAGTAAATTAAGACAAGCTATATGGCCAGGTGCGGTAGCTCACACCTGTAATCTCAGCACTTTGGGAGGCCAAGGTGGGAGAATCGTTTGAGCTCAGGAGTTCAAGACCAGCCTAGGCAACATAGCAAGACCCTGTCTCTTATTTTTAAAAAATAAAATAGGCCAGGTGCAGTGGCTTACACCTGTAATCCCAACACTTTGGGATGCCAAGGCAGGTGGATCACGAGGTCAGGAGTTCAAGATCAGCCTGGCCAAGATGGTGAAACCACATCTCTACTAAAAATACGCCAGGCATGGTGGTGGGTGCCTGTAATCCCAGCTACTCGGGAGACTGAGGCAGAGAATTGCTTAAACCCAGAGGGCAAAGGATGCAGTGAGCTGAGATCGCGCCGTTGCACTCCAGCCTAGGCAACAGAGCAAAACTCCGTCTCAAAAAAATAAATAAATAGGCCGGGCGCAGTGGCTCACTCCTGTAATCCCAGCACTTTGGGAGGACAAGGCCGGCAGATCACGAGGTCAGGAGATCAAGACCATCCTGGCTAACATGGTGAAACCCCATGTCTACTAAAAATATAAAAAATTAGCTGGGCGTGGTGGCGGGCTCCTATAGTCCCAGCTACTTGGGAGGCTGAGGCAGGAGAATGGCGTGAACCTGGGAGATGGAGCTTGCAGTGAGCTGAGATCGTGCCACTGCACTCCAGCCTGGGCAACAGAGTGAGACTCCATCTCAAAAAAATAAATAAATAAATAACATAAAATAATACGCCGGGCACGGTGGCTCACTCCTGTAATTCCAGCACTTTGGGAGGCTGAGGCAGGCAGATCATGAGGTCGGGAGATCGAGACCATCCTGGCCAACACAGTGAAACCCTGTCTCTACTAAAAACACAAAATGGGGCGTGGTGGCGCATGCCTGTAATCCCAGCTACTCAGGAGGCTGAGGCAGGAGAATCGCTTGAACCAGGGAGTCAGAGGTTGCAGTGAGCCGAGATTGTGCCATTACACTCAAGCCTGGCCACATAGCAAGACTCTTGTCTCAAAAATAAATAAATAAATAAATAAATAAATAAATACAAATAAAATAAATAATAAACAATAAAAAGACAAGCTATATGAGGTTGTCTTTTAAATAATAAAAAGGCAAGCTATATATCCACTTTGCCATTTTTCTAAGCTTTCAACTTTCTTTTTTTGAGATGGAATCTTGCTCTCTTGCCTAGGCTGGAGTGCAGTGGCACGATCTCGGCTCACTGCAGCCTCTGCCTCCTGGGTTCAAGCGATTCTCCTGCCTCAGCCTTCCTAGTAGCTGGGGTTACAGATGCCCACCACCACACCAGCTAATTTTTGTATTTTTAGTAGAGATGGCGTTTCTCCATGTTGGCCATGATGGTCTTAAATTCCTGACCTCAAGTGATCCCCACCCCAATACAAGCGTGAGCCACTGCACCTGGCCTCAACATTCTTTCTAAAATGACTCAGAAATGTTACAACCTGAGAAAGTCATATTAGAATGTTTTGAACCTTGTTACATAATAATCTTTGAGGAAATTATTCTTAATTCATAGTTACTTATAAGTTGTTTTCATCTTAAATGAGAAAAAAAAAAGATAATAAGTAACACTTGAGCATTTAGTATGTGCTTGGCATTAAGAGCTTAACATATATTAACCTCAGGCAGAGGTGGTGGCCCATGCCTGTAATCCCACCATTTTAGGAGGCCAAGACAGGAGAATTACTTGACCTCAGGACTTTGAGACCAGCCAACATAGTGAGACCCCATCTCTACAAAAAATTTAAAAATTAGACCAGTGGCCAGGCACAGTGGCTCATGCCTGTAATCCCAACACTTTGGGATGCCGAAGCGGGCAGATCACGACATCAGGAGTTCGAGACCAGCCTGGCCAACATGGTGAAACCCCATCTCTACTAAAAATACAAAAAATTAGACGAGTGTGGTGGTGTGTGCCTGTAATTTAATCTTCTCAGGAGGCTGAGGCAGGATAATTGCTTGAACCTCTGGAGGCGGAGGTTGCAGTGAGCCAAGATCACACCACTGCACTCCAGCCGGGGCGACAGTGCAAGACTCCGTCTCAAAAAAAAAAAAAATCAAAAAAATTGGCTGGGCACAGTGGCTCACGCCTATAATCCCAGCACTTTGGGAGGCTGAAGTGGGCAGATCATGAGGTCAGGAGATTGAGACCATCCTGCCAACACGGTGAAACCCCGTCTCTACTAAAAATACAAAAAAATTAGTGGCAGACACCTGTAGTTCCAGCTACTCGAGAGGCTGAGGCGTGAACCCGGGATGCAGAGCTTGCAGTAAGCCGAGATCACACTACTGCACACTCCAGCCCAGGCGACAGAGCAAGACTTGGTCTCAAAAAAAAAAAAAAAAAAGTAGATGAGCATGGTGGTGCATGCCTGTAGTCCCAGTCCTGCTGAGGCAGGATCCCTTGAGCCCAGGAGTTGGAGGCTGCAGTGAGCCAAGACTGTGCCATTGCACTCCAGCCTAGGCGACAGAGTGAGACCCTATCTCAAAAAAAAAAGGAACCCGCCGGTCACGGTGGCTCATGCCTGTAATCCTAACACTTTGGGAGGCCGAGGCAGGCGGATCATGAGGTCAGGAGATCAAGACCATCCTGGCTAACACAATGAAATCCCGTCTCTACTAAAAATACAAAAAATTAGCTGGGCGTGGTGGCGGGCACCTGTAGTCCCAGCTACTCGGGAGGCTGAGGCAGGAGAATGGCATGAACCCGGGAGGCAGAGCTTGCAGTGAGCCAAGATGGCAGCCACTGAACTCCAGCCCGGGCAACATCGAGCAAGACTCCGTCTCAAAAAAAAAAAAAAGAAACCCAAAACATGTATTAACCTCATTTAATCTTCACAATAATTCCGTGAAGTGGTTCTATTAAGATACGTATTTTAGCCAGGCACAGTGGCTCACACCCGTAATCCCAACACTTTGAGAGGCCGAGGTGGGTGGATCACCTAAGGTCAGGAGTTCAAGACCAGCCTGGCCTACATGGCGAAACCCTGTCTCTACTAAAAAATACAAAAATTAAATGGGTGTGGTCGTGGGCACCTGTAATCCCAGCTACTTGGGAGACTGAGGCAGACAGAATTGCTTGAACCTGGGAGGCGGAAGTCGCAGTGAGCTAAGATCGGACCACTGCACTCCAGCATGGGTAACACAGTAAGACTCTGTCTCGGGGGGGAAAAAAAATGATACATATTTTAGAGATGAGGAAAGTAAAGCACAGAAAGGTTAAGTTACTTCGCCAAATAGTACAAAGCCATGAGTTGCAGAGCTAGGATTTTAACCCAGGCCGCCAGGCTCTGGAACTCATGTTCTTTTGTTTTTGAGACAGAGTCTCACTTTGTTGCCCAGGCTGAAGTGCGGTGGTGTAATCTCGGCTCACTGCAACCTCCACCTCCTATTTTTGGTAGAGACGGGGTTTCACCCAGTTGGCCAGGCTGGTCTTGAACTCCGGACTTCAAGTGATCCACCCGCCTCAGCCTCCCAAAGTGCTCAGATTACAGGCATGAGCTACTGCGCCCAACCTCCATGTTCTTAACCTCTAGAAGCATCTAGCCAGGAAACCTAACCTAGGGGATTGGGGTGTCCTGCCTGGAGACTATATTGAGATTACTGTGTTTGAGCCTTAGGTTCCCTTACTCTTTATAGTTGCTTTGTTCTGCTGTGGATGGTAGTCAGAAGTTGAACTGCCCAAGGTTGAATCCTTGCCCTACCACTTATTAGCCGTGTAACCTTAGATATATCACTAAATCTCTGTGAGGGTCAATTTCCTCTTTTTTTTTTTTTTTTGAGACAAAGTTTCGCTCTTGTTGCGCAGGCTGGAGTGCAATGGCACAATCTTGGCTCACTGCAACCTCCGCCTCCCAGGTTCAAGCGATTCTCCTCTCTCAGCCTCCTGAGTAGCTGGGATTACAGGCATGCGCCACCATGCCCAGCTAATTTTGTATTTTTAGTAGAGACAGGGTTTCTCCATGTTGGTCAGGCTGGTCTCGAACTCCCAACCTCAGGTGATCCACCCACCTCGGCCTCCCAAAGTGCTGGGATTAACAGGTGTGAGCCACCGCGCCTGGCCAGTTTCCTCATTTATGAAACCAGAATAACAATGGAATTACCTGAGAGGGTGGTTAAGATTAGTTGACTAGACTGTTGAAATCACTTGGTATGGTGCTTAGTAAATATTAACTTACTATCATCAGGACCTATATTTTCTTCACCTATAAAATGGAATGGTGTTCGGAAAGTCCTTGGGATGGACAGTTCTTTTTAATGGTCGCGTGTGTGTAAGGTACATAAGATCATATCATGCAAGATATATCTGTCACAACATTGATCTCCTGTAAGGCTTGTGAATCAGTAGCATTTCTGACATTCATTTTGAATAAATAATCACTACATATGATGCCACTAAGCCCATAAAGTAGTTATTTAGCCTATCCCTCAACATTCATGATTTTTGTTTAGCAACTCTCCTACTTCCATGTGAGTATTAATTCTATCTTTTCAAATTGCTTCATTCAATATGTATTTATTGGCAACTTTTTTTGCATCATGTCGGTGTAGTAGAAATATGGAAAATGCTCTGAGGCCGGGGATGGTGCCTCACGCCTGTAATCCCAGCACTTTGGGAGGCCGAAGCAGGAGGATTACTTGCATGCAGGAGTTCAAGACCAGCCTGGGCAAGATGGTGAAACCCCATCTCTAAAAACAAAAAACAAAAAAACGTAGCTGGGTATGGTGGGGCACACCTGTAGTCCCAGCTACTCAGGAGGCCGAGGTGGGAGGATCTCATGAACCCAGGAGTTCACAGCAGCAGCGAGTTATTATTGGGCCACTGCACTCCAGCCTGGTCAAAAGAACGAGACCCCAGATCAAAAAATAAACTAATAAGTAAATAAAGTCTGTGGCAGTATCTCAAAACAATGAAGCTAAGCTCTAAGTAGTCCTCAGTATGTTTGCATTATCTATCTGTTCTCTATAAAATAATTTACCAGCATGATGGATGCATATGCTTATAAACATAACATCAAGCATCATTACTATGAAAATAAAATATCAGAATAAGGTGAGCAGTTTAGAGAGTTGTGCCTGAAAAGCAGACTGTTATGCTTTATTCATGTTCAGAAGTAAGATTAATTTTTATACATCCTTTTCTTTTTTTTTTTTTTTTTTTTGAGACGGAGTCTTGCTCTGTCGCCCAGGCTGGAATGCAGTGGCCGGATCTCAGCTCACTGCAAGCTCTGCCTCCTGGGTTTTCGCCATTCTCCTGCCTCAGCCTCCCGAGTAGCTAGGACTACAGGCGCCCGCCACCTCGCCCGGCTAGTTTTTTGTATTTTTTTAGTAGAGACGGGGTTTCACTGTGTTAGCCAGGATGGTCTCGATCTCCTGACCTCGTGATCCGCCCGTCTCGGCCTCCCAAAGTGCTGGGATTACAGGCTTGAGCCACCGCGCCTGGCCAATTTTTATACATCCTTTTCAAAGGTTACATATGCCATGTAACATACTGTTTATTTTTTTAGAATGCTGATCCTAAGTCATCCCTCAAAGGTGTAAGCAACCAGCTTGGAGAAGGGCCCAGTGATGGACTGCCACTTTCAAGTAGCCTCCAGTTTCTTGAAGATGAACTCGAGTCTTCTCCTCTTCCTGATCTCACTGAGGACCAACCTTTCGACATTCTTCAGAAATCCTTGCAAGAGGCCAATATCACTGAACAGACATTGGCAGAAGAGGCATATTTGGATGCCAGTATAGGTTCAAGCCAACAGTTTGCACAAGCTCAGCTTCATCCTTCTTCATCAGCATCCTTTACTCAGGCTTCTAATGTTTCTAATTACTCAGGTCAGACGCTGCAGCCTATAGGGGTGACGCATGTGCCTGTTGGAGCATCGTTTGCAAGCAATACAGTGGGTGTACAACATGGCTTTATGCAACATGTGGGGATCAGTGTTCCCAGCCAGCATTTGTCTAATAGCAGTCAGATTAGTGGTTCTGGTCAAATACAATTAATTGGGTCATTTGGTAATCATCCTTCCATGATGACTATTAATAACCTAGATGGATCTCAAATCATATTAAAGGGCAGCGGGCAGCAAGCCCCATCAAATGTGAGTGGAGGGCTCCTGGTTCATAGACAGACTCCTAATGGCAACTCCTTGTTTGGGAACTCCAGTTCCAGTCCAGTAGCACAGCCTGTTACTGTTCCATTTAACAGCACAAATTTTCAAACATCTTTACCTGTGCATAACATCATCATACAAAGGGGTCTTGCACCAAATTCAAATAAAGTCCCAATTAATATACAGCCAAAGCCTATCCAGATGGGTCAGCAAAATACATACAATGTGAACAATTTGGGAATTCAGCAGCACCACGTACAACAAGGGATCTCTTTTGCTTCTGCAAGCTCACCCCAGGGCTCAGTAGTTGGTCCACACATGTCTGTGAACATTGTAAACCAACAGAACACAAGAAAGCCAGTCACCTCACAGGCAGTGAGCAGCGCTGGGGGCAGTATTGTTATTCATTCCCCCATGGGCCAGCCTCACGCACCCCAAAGTCAGTTCCTCATACCTACAAGCCTTTCTGTCAGTTCCAACTCGGTACACCACGTCCAGACTATAAATGGGCAACTTCTTCAGACTCAACCCTCTCAGCTCATTTCTGGCCAAGTGGCCTCAGAGCATGTCATGTTGAACAGAAACTCTTCCAACATGCTCAGGACCAACCAACCATATTCTGGACAGATGCTTAACAACCAGAATACTGCCGTCCACTTAGTGTCTGGGCAGACATTTGCTGCCTCTGGAAGTCCAGTGATAGCCAATCATGCCTCTCCTCAGCTTGTGGGTGGACAGATGCCCTTGCAGCAGGCGTCCCCAACGGTATTACACCTGTCACCTGGGCAGAGCAGCGTTTCCCAAGGAAGACCTGGCTTCACCACCATGCCCTCGGTGACAAGCATGTCAGGACCTAGTCGGTTCCCTGCTGTCAGCTCAGCCAGCACTGCCCATCCTAGCCTTGGGTCTGCAGTTCAGTCTGGTTCATCAGGATCAAACTTTACGGGAGATCAGCTGACGCAGCCGAACAGGACTCCAGTACCAGTCAGTGTGTCTCATCGTCTTCCAGTTTCTTCTTCCAAGTGTACCAGCACCTTCAGTAACACACCTGGAGCAGGAACCCAGCAACAATTCTTCTGCCAGGTAATGCCCTTTCCCAAATAAATATTTGGCTGATTATAGAGTGGAAAAATGAGATGTGTATTTACTAGAATATAATTTTCATCCTAGACTCCCAATTTCTTAAAAATTTTAGGCCAGGTGTAGTGGCTCATGCCTATAATCCCAACAGTTTGGGAGACTGAGGCTGGAGGATTACTTGAACCCAATAGTTCAAGGCCAGCCTGGGCAACATAGTGAGACCCTGCCTATACCAAAAATTTAAAAATTAGCTGAGTGTGGTGGTGCACACCTGTAGTCCCAGCTACTCTGGAGGCTGAGGCAGAAGAATAGCTTGAGCACAGGAGGTTGAGGCTGCAGCGAGCCATGACTGTACCACTGCACTGGGTGATAGAGTGAGTCTCAAAAAAAAAAATTTTTTTTTTACACTTATGACTGGTTATCTTTTTTCTTGATTTTCTTTTTTGCCAGGGGACGGGGGTAGGGGGTCTCACTCTGTCGCCTAGGCTGGAGGGCAGTGGCACAGTCATGGCTCACTGCAGCCTCAACCTTCTAGGCTCAGATGATCTTCCCATCTCAGCCTCCCAGGTAGCTGGGACTACAAGCACATACCAGCACACCTAACTAGTTTTTTGTATTTTTTGTAGATTTGGGGTTTCGCCATGTTGCCCAGGCTGGTCTTAAACTCCTGGGCTCAAGAAATCCCCTGGCCTTGGCCTCCCAAAGTGCTGGGATTACAGGCCACCACACCCAACCTTTTTTCTTCTTAAGTTTTTTAATCCATTGTAGAGTGGAGACTCTGGAGTTAGACTCTTGAGTTTGAATCTAAGCTTTATGACATGGAAAACGTTAACTTACTGCTCTAGACTTAATTGTCTCCAACAGTGAAATGGGGATAATGATACTGCCATCCCATGGAGTTATCAGGAGGGTGAAATGAGATAATCTAAACAAAGCACTTAGACATAGACCCTGGCAAACAGCAAATACTCAATAGAAGCCTGTATTTATACTTAATTAAATTCATTATGGGCATTTAAAATGAAAGTTTCTTTTAGATTATTTATTTACATTGTACAGCAGGCTACTAGGACATGTGACTATGGACTTGTTGAAGATGTAGTAGCTGCTTCTTGGTTGCCAACAGGAAAGGCTCAGGGACTCAGCGTGACTCTATAGTGGGTAACTGGCCTGCAGCAGAGGGAAGCACATAAAGGGAGAAATCGAGGCACTCTCATTTGACCAAGTACTTTACCTGAGCCTGCTCTTACTATACTATTATGCAGGTTAATTACTGTGGGCAATTGGTAAACCACATAAGGATTATGTTTCTGAAAAGAATCTCAAGTGGTCATGAGCTTTAGTCCTTCACTGTCATCTACTGATCCTTCGACGGCTCCATCTTTTGGTTCCCACTCATTCTGAGCATGCTCCATAGTTCCAGCTCCTCCTCTTCTCATCTGGGAGGACCCATGCCATACCCTACCTTCCACCCCTCGGTCCTGCGTTTCCCCTGCCTTTGTCCTCCTCCACATTCAGAAGGATTCAAAAACTTCTGTTTGTATATATCAACATATTTCAAAATCTTTTTTTTTTTTTGAGACAGTCTCACTCTGTTGCCCAGGCTAGCATGCAGTGGCAAAATCTCAGCTCACTGCAGCCTCTGCCTCCCAGGCTCAAGCGTTCCCTCCGCCTCAGCCTCCCAAGTAGCTGGGAACACAGGTGCATGCCACCATGCCCAACTATTTTTGTATTTTTTTTATAGGCAGGGTTTCACCATGTTGCCCAGGCTGGTCTCGAACTCCTGGGCTCCAGCGATCTGCCCGCCTTGACCTCCCAAAGTGTTGGGATTATAGGCATTTGCCACTGTGCTCAGCCAATATCAATCTTTTAAATATATATATCAGCCAGGAGCTGTGGTTCATGCCTGTAATCTCAGCACTTTGGGAGGCCGAGGTGGGCAGATCACTTGAGGTTAGGAGTTCAAGACCATCCTGACCAACATGGTGAAACCCTGTCTCTACTAAAAATACAAAAATTAGCTGGGTGTGGTGGCACACACCTGTAGTCCCAGCTACTTAGGAAGCTGAGGCAGGAGAATCACTTGGACCTAGGAGGTGGAGGTTGCAGTGAGCCAAGATCCTGCCACTGCACTCCTGCCTGGGCAACAGACTGAATGAGACTCCATCCCAAAGATTATATATATATATGTAATATATACACATATGTATTTATATATATAATATATATCAATTTTTTAAACCATATACCTTTGACTAACTAATTTCACTAAGAATCCTAAGGAAACAAAAATTACTTATGATTAAGGATGTTCAGTTTATTTGTTTTGGTATCAAAGATATCAAAGGGGTGTATGTGTGTGTATTTGAAATAATATCAGACTTACAGAAAAGTTAAAGTTACAAGATTACTACAAAGAATTCTCACATACCCTTCACCAAGATTCCCCAAATCTTTTCTCTCCCTTTGTCTCTCTCTCTCTCTCTCATACACAAACACACAGACACACAGACACACACACTTTTCAGAGTAAATTACAGACCAGATGCTGATGCTACTTGACTCCTAATTACCTCAATGTGTATTTGTAAAAGCAGGGGCATTCTTCTATATAACCACAGTACAGTAATCAAAATTAAGAAATCAGCATTATTAAAATACTATAACTAATCTGCAGACCTTACTCAGATATAGTCAGTTCTCCCAGTAATGTCCCTGAGAGCACAAGAGAAAACAAATTATTTGGTTTGGGTTTTGGTGTTTTAGTGTTTTTTCTTTAGAGATGGGATCTTGCTATGTTACCCAGGCTAGACTCTCTTTTTTGGTTTTTTTTTTTTTTTTTGAGACAGAATCTCACTCTGTCTACCAGGCTGGAGTGCAGTTACGCAATCTCAGCTCACTGCAAGCTCCACCTCCCGGGTTCACGTCGTTCTTCTGCCTCAGCCTCCCGAGTAGCTGGGACTACAGGCGCCCACCACCACGCCCGGCTAATTTTTCGTATTTTTAGTAGAGACAGGGTTTCACCATGTTAGCCAGGATGGTCTCAATCTCCTGACCTCATGATCCGCCCACCTCGGCCTCCCAAAGTGCTGGGATTACAGGAGTGAGCCACTGCGCCTGGCCCAAGCTAGACTCTAGAACTCAAGCAATCTTCCCGCCTCAGCCTCCTGAGTAACTGGAACTACAGGCTCGCCCCTGCATGCAGCTTTGTTTTGTTTTGTTTTTGTTTGTTTGTTTTCGAGACAGAGTCTCATTCTGTCGCCCAGGCTAGAGTGCAGTGGTACAATCTCGGCTCACTGCAACCACCACCTCCTGGGTTCAAGCAATTCTCCTGCCTCAGCCTCCTGAGTAACTGGGATTACAGCTGCCTGCCACCCAACCCTGCTAATTTTTGTATTTTTAGTATAGACAGGGTTTCTCCATGTTGGCCAGGCTGGTCTCAAACTCCTGACCTCAGGTGATCTGCCCGCCTCAGCTTCCCAATTTGTTTTGGTTTTTATGGTCCAGGATCCACCCAGAATCGCTATCTCATTTCACTGTCAGATTTTAAAATCTGCAACAGTTCCTCAGTCGTTCTTTGTCTTTCATGCTATTAATATTTTTGAAGACTGCAAACCAATAATTATTATTTTTATTGTTATTATTATTATTTTGAGACAGAGTTTTGCTCTTGTTGCCCAGGCTGGAGTGCAATGGTGCGATCTCAGCTCATCGCAACCTCTGCCTTGCAGGTTCAAGCGATTCTTCTGCCGCAGCCTCCCGAGTAGCTGGGATTACAGGTGTGCGCCACCAGGCCTGGCTAATTTTGTATTTTTAGTAGAGACGTGGTTTCTCCATGTTGGCCAGGCTGGTCTGGAACTCCCAACCTCAGGTGATCTGCCTGACTCGGCCTCCTGGAGTGCTGGGATTATAGGCATGACCCACCGCGCCCAGCCAAACCAATTATTTTCTATAATGTCTCTCAATTTGGGTTTCTCTGATGCTTCCTCATGATTAGATTCAGTACATTTTTAACAGGATTGCCACAGAAGTGAGGTGTCCTCAGTGCTCAGGATGTGGATTTGTCCCATTACTGGTGATTTCACCTTGAACACTTGCTTAACATGGTGTCTTTCAGGTTTCTCCACTGTTTTTCCTTTTGTCCTTAATTAGAATCTTCCAGAAGATAATTTGAAACTCTATAGGCATCCAGTTTCTCATCAGACTTTCACATGATAATTTAAGTTTCCATTGATGATTCCTGATTGAATCAGTTATTACAGAGCTATTACTATGATGGCCTCCAAATAGAGACTTTCTGATTCCTTCATTTGTTCTATACTTACTATTGGCATTCTAATTTAAGGAACAGCTTTTCCTTTTCTTCCCTTTCCTTTTTCTTTATGTGTGAATTCTTAGATTATTATTATAATTAGTGGGTTATAAACTGGTATAATAATGTATTTTAATGCTCAAGTCTACCCACAGTTGGCAAGTGGGTGCCCCTCCAAATTGGCTGCTCATCCTTCTGACATGTTTCCATCATTTTTTGAGCACTTCCTTCAATTTCTGGCAAAACAAATGTTCTGTGTTTATCTTTTAATTTCCCTGCTCCTGCCCTAGCATCAACTATTTTTTTAAGAAGGTTTGTTCCTTCTAGTGGAGAACAATATTTAGAAACCAAGATCTGAGCATTGTGTGTGTTCATTGCTACTAAGGTCATTTCAGTTGGGAAATATGTATGTTTATACACCCAACACCTATAGCTATTTACATTTCTGTGAATCTATATTAAAAGCTGTGAGTTCACATAGATAGTTCCAATTCCTTTTTTTTGTTTGTTTGTTTGTTTTTTTTTTTGAGACGGAGTCTCGCTCTGCCACTCAGGCTGGAGTGCAGTGGCGGGATCTCAGCTCACTGCAAGCTCCGCCTCCCAGGTTCACGCCATTCTCCTGCCTCAGCCTCCCGAGTAGCTGGGACTACAGGTGCCTGCCACCTCGCCCGGCTAGTTTTTTGTATTTTTT